CTTGAGTTTTTTTTTTTAATTAACCCGATCCACACGTCCGTAAGTAATTAGTACATATGGTATAATACACGTTATATCTGCTACGATGATTCAATAGTTGTAGACTGTGTAGTAGTAGAGATACATGTTTTGTCTCCGTTATTGCGTTTGTCATCTCGTTGAAAAGATAATTGGTAATGTCGCGTACATAATATTGTAGACACACGAACAACAAACGAAAGCAGCCTGTTCGTCTACACTTTGTCGACTACTCTCGAAGCTAATAATTATTATGTTTGCCGCTTAAAAGTTATTGTTTCGAGCCTGGTATGCGAACATAAATCGTAACAACAATAACGATTGTAATTATTCCAATCATATTAGAAATATAAAAAAAAATTTAACGCAACAAACGCGGCGGTTAATTCCGTAGAAATAAAACTAAGTACCTATCATTCGTGACTTTTGAAAACCGTGGGTTGGCCAGCGTACATTCAAGTCAATTTCGTGCCGTTAAACACACAATTCCTAATAATATAGTTTCGCTATGGAATCGGTGCACTTTTCCGTTATTGTTTTTTAATATTCAATTTGTTTTTTCCACTAAAAGTGTAAGTGTCGGGGCCCACGCCATATGACTTTAAGATCCGTGCTAATATTGCTGCGGTCGCGTCGTGCTCGCACTGTTATACTGGTTTGTTTATATTGCGTTATGAAACCGATTTTTATTTTTGCCATTAGCTTAATGGTTTGTTTTAATTATTAACAACACCTGACCACACCGGCCTTGTGCATTCATTGCGGACCACGATTATTTTAGTCATTTATTTCGGTTGCCATTTAATATAATATACGGCTGGACCATGCAGTTTAACGACCAACGTTACTGGATAATTCATAATGGACCGAAATTTAATAAATGTTTTAAGTAAATTAATATTTTTAAATTAAGAAATTCATATGGTGATTTTTGTGTGTGCTTAAGAATATTAACCTATTACCGCTATTGATCATGCATCGATATTTACAAACCTGTGTGACAATGATAATTCCTTAAATGTGTCCGATAAATGTATCCTATTGTAGCTATGTTTTCCATAATGATAAAGTAAATAAAGCTTTTATTAAGTTTTTAACCAAAAATAAACCCTTAAATAATATAGTATTCTGTGGTCTCTTCAATATCACACGTAGTGATCAACATAAATCATTTAATTTATCAAAATTTTTTTTAAAAATCAGTATTTTTTTATTTAGATTCACTTAATAAAATATAGCTTTATTAAATACGGTCTTTGTGTGATAAGGCCTCTAAACTAGCATTTATTAGAGTGCATGGTATATCCAATTTTTCAACAAAACGTAACATTAAGGTAAAATTTGCAAACTTATAAATAAAGCAAAGATATTTCATTTTTTTCATTTTTAAATACATACAGACTTTTAATAGTACGTTTCTAAGAATATTCCATTTTAATTTTTTAAAAAAAACTTTTGAATTATTCATAGTATTTACCAGGCATCGATCGTGTCATTTCAAAATTTATTTTAGTTTATTTATTTTTTTTTAATTAAAATGAGTTGTTTTATAACAAAAACTACGCAGGTGTTTATGTACCTTAGGACATAATATATCTTGTCACTCTAAATTTAATACTTAACTATTAACTGAAACGTACAACCATCGATAATTATTAGTTTCCTGTTCCTGTATAATTTAAGAATGTACAATTCACTTTTAATGGTTATTTTATTACATCAATGAAATCGTTGTTTGACATTTACGTTGTAATCACTAAAGCTTAATTAGTTACTTTACATTGTGGTCGTAGAATGAGCCCCAGCGGTCGTCTACTTTGTATGTACACACTTTAGGTCTGAGATTTTTTTTACGATGGATTTATGCGGTTTCGTGCCAAGAATATAATTTATCATAACCAAAAAAAAACCACTGTTATCTCAACGCATAGTCGCATTGTGTGTTAATCAAGAAAAGTCAAGGCCAATTATTATTATTAGTAGTGGTATTACTATAAGTGTTATGTCACACTCTGATCTTTATTTTGTATGTTAATTTTTTTTTTAAATTAATTTCTCTCTATTGTCATAATCTACCTTGTGGTTGACAGTAACACACGAGCTTCTCAGCAAACTCACGCGTTGTATGCAAATCGCTGCAGCGCACGATCATACCCATATGTCTCCAGACTAAGATAAAAACGTCGTTGGGTGCATCTTCCGAGAATGGAACGAGACGACTAAATTACACAAAACGTACTACAGGCGTTATATGCTGTTGTTGTTATTGTGAAACTAAGCATTAACTTGTTAACTTGTGACTAATGTACTGTAATTGGTTAGCCGAGAAACCCAAAATAAAAATAATGTAATACTTCTACGTTACAAGCCGGTTCGGCACTAGGATTGTCGAAACGGTTTTATAAGACATTTACGAATTTCGCGTGTACGTGAACGCATTAGGATTTAGGACTGCGAAGAAACTCAACCGACTCAATCAGCTGATGGGGAAATTCAATGTTTAATGACCACACTGTGCGTTAAACTTTAACAAATATTTGAAAACTAGACCATAACATAAAATTCTTTGTAAAAAACCAAAGTCAATTCGGATATCAACGAATGGACTTAAATTCTAAGGTGTACACGCTTTAAAATCTGAGCTCACTTAAATACCAATACTAATCTGAATTGTTCAGCCAAATGGTGACTTCTGTGTTGGATATATTATTCACTAGTTAATTTAATATTATTACCGTTATGTATGCGATACTTTCAGAAGTTGTGTATCTTATGCAAGATTTTAATGTACGAGTGTTTCATTAACTGTAATTTATGTAATCTTTCAACGCGATTTAATTATTTATTATCCGTTATTTGTAACTAATCTGTCTAAGTATAGAATTCCCTTGCGCAATCGATTCATAGAGACCAGACATATTAGTGTTGTTGAAAAATTAAAACATTCAATTAAAAAACAATATTTGGTCGTCGTCAAAATATTTTGTGTTAACCCAAAAATTATTATATTCTAAAATAATAATTCATTCTATGTTTAAATAATACTGCGTAATTTAGCTTGATACAATTCCACAACCATCGCATTTCAATATTCAAAGATTTGTCGATAACCCCTAGCATGGCGTAACATCGGCGCAGTGGGTTGCACAATTTCACAATTGAACGTTTTCTAGAACTAATTTTGCTGGGTTAAATATACCGGATACGTGCGGTTAGATTGCAGTCGGATTATCTACATCATTCATTCATTTTTGCACGACAGTTTTTGTCCGTGTATTATCTAGACACAACAATCATATTTTTTAATCAAAGAAGCGACCGCTCGTAGCAAAATGCATCTATTTGACTAATTCGGCAAAAATTAGATTTAATATTACTACTATTGTGATTGGATAAGAGAAGACATATTATTGTATACGGTTTAATTACACGGACGAATTGGTTTTCTGCGTGTACGGTCTCATTTGTACGCTTATGTGAGAACTCAGACTAATAGGTGGTCATAATATCCGAGACACATACACTACCTATTCTTTTATATACACAATCCAACTCTACGGACCATCCGAAAAATGAACGCAGATGAAGGCGACGTGACCGTCGAAAACGATTATGAAGATTGAACGAATTAATTCGAATACTTTACATAATCTCGCAAAAAAAAAAAATGATCAAGATAACAACGTCGGATGATCTAAAGAAAGTATTGATTGCCGCCGAGTCATGGTTGATTTTATGAGTATAATACATCACGTGACATACAACTGTTACGGAAAACAACCCACGAGCAGTTTAAAAGTAGTGTCGGCTAGAAATAAGTTATGGTACTTATTTTTTATCATTTATAATATTTACTCCCGTACCTACCTTCCGAATAACCTTTCACTCTTGTCTGTGTTTGCATATTCAAAAAATCGTAATGATTCGACCAGTTTATAATCAATGGTGGATCTTCTATAATGACTGAGTGTAGTGGAAATGCACGTTACGGGTTAACTTGACGTAACCAAATATTTTTGAAACGTCATTACCTTCAATACCGTCTATAAATTACTGTAGCTATACAAGCTACATGCCCGCGAGACGAAATCTCACTTGGGTGTCGGCCAAGTTACACATTTAATGTTTTAATAGGTTCATTTGAAATAATTTTTAAAAAATGTCATTATTTAGATATCTTGTTACGCAATAAATTATTATAATGTACTTTTTATAAAAAGAAATTAAACGTCGCAAAGACGACTTGCACTTATAATTATTCAAAGGTTTTTAAGGTTGACTGAGCCTGACTGTTGTAATTAAAAGTTATATAAATATAATATTATAATTGTACGTTCAACAAACAAGTCTTCCACTACTATGTATGTACAGTGTATATCGTGTATGTAGTTAACTCTAAAATACGCATACGAAAAGTGATCCGAGATTAAAAAAATTAAATCAATGGTGCAGTGTTGCACTTTTGATGGAGATGTAAATAAGTACTATAAAACACGAATTGTCACTACGACGCTATCCCATGCAATTGTTATCCCTGCTAATTTAGTCGAAAAAGCTTTAATATAATAAAATACGAGTTAATTTTTTTTTAATATGTAAACCAGATCAGTAAAGACCTAACAACAATAAATGACTAAATGTTTTCAGTTTCAACTGACTAGTACCAAAACCTTGTAAATTAATTTTTAATCTGTTTTTGTTAGTCAGATATAGTAACGTATAAAATGGTCAGTCGTGTATTTAGCGACTTTTATCCAAAATAAACATTTTCAAGTTTTAATTTCCCGCAAGGAATGACCATAATATAGGTTTATGCATATACATTTTTTTAATAATTTACATTGTGTTATGTGTATTTACCAAACACTTCCCGACAAATTTGTGTACTTTGACTAGACAATATAACCTGTAAATGGCCTTTTCATATCCAAGGCACACCCACGGGACGAGCTGTTGTTTGAAATAAGCGTTTTGGTACTCACGTTGAAATCGTTGACAATCCGTGTAAGCACTGAAATGTAACCGTGGTGGTCCAGAGATCACGCACCAACGTTTTCCGGACAAGTGTACGCGATATTCAAATAATTCACTGCGATCATTATTATCGGATTGATTTTTGAATAATGACTAAACACAGTAGAACATCAGCGCAGGTACACACGAGACAGCGGACTGGCAACCGACCACGGTGAACGCACACCGCAGCAAACAAGCGCGACCACGAGGAGACCACCGAAGAGCCCCACTTTACTATTATTACTTATCTGGTTGGACCATAATGTAATAATAGTATTGTAAGTACTCCGATGCGTCTTGCCACGGTCGGCTGTAAGTCGAATAAATAAGACTAAAGCATAATACCTATGGTAATATTATTATTAACACAATAGGCCTATTAAGCCAACATCTTAGCGCCTCCGAAAGAGATCGCAGACGATATCGAAAGTAGACGAGAGTGAGTATATTACGATACGTACGTTGTGTGTAATTATGCATAATAACCGTATAGTTGTATTCATCAGTGAAAATTACCATAATAATAATATAGTCTTCATAGTATACTATGTAACACAACTGTAATGTACTCGACATAATATTGTTATGCTATTTAATACTACATTATATTATTATATTATACTATACAGACAAGACAACGAATCTTGCAGTGTTTTTACTGCCTAATGGTTTAGTTCTTCTCTGTTGCTGTTGTAAGTTTAAGCGTAATCTGAATTTATCTTAGAATAGCGACAATTGGCTTAATGTGCACGGTTTGTACTTGTTGGGATTTAGCGCCCTCGGTGGCGTCGATGTAGTGTTAAACAGCGATAAACAGTTGAAATCCGAGATTCCTGTGAAAAGACTAGCATATTTGCCAGGGATGTTCTCTGCAGGGTACCACCACCCCTATTAGGTTATTCATAGGAACCGAGTATTAATATCAAAGAAATGACCCAAACTAAACGACTTCGAAGCTCTTTTTAAGTAACAATTTTTTTTGTTTCCACAAAGATAAAACAAATTTATATTTTTAACTAAATAAAACGTAAACTATTGATTCTACTATTTAGCGTATTATTCTTTGAAAGACAATAATAAATATAATACAATAAAAGATATCTTACAAGTCCTATGTAGAAGCAAAACATTTTACTGTTTAAAAAATGCATTTAAGTGGTACTTATTAGTTATTTTATACTTTCACACACGACGCAACCAAATAGAACAATTTCCAGCAATCATTTGGTGCATCGTTTAAAAAATAAAAATATTGTGTGTTAGTTCTTAAACAACTTACTTAAGAACACCAAGATTCGTTGTATTAAATATCACAACAATATTATGTCGAGTTTTTAAACAAGTTGTTTATAAGCTAACACACAATATTATTGTTTTAAACGATGCATTAAATGATTGTTGGAAATTGTTCTATTTAGTTGCGTCGTGTGTGAAAGTATAAAATAAATACCACTTAAATGCATTTTTTAATCAGTAGATATTAAATAGTTTTGATAAGGAAAAACAATAAACAATCATTACCTTCTGTTCTTATACTACTTTGGACTGAAAAATAATTGTTTTCCAACTAGATATGTAATCTATGCACATGATTAAAATATACAAGTTAATTGCACGTATATCCCATGAAATATTCGATTCTAAAAACAAATATGTCAGCGTAAAGTGAGCCAAAACCAAGTATTTATACTACACAGTAAAATATATAGTAATAGTATAGAATTTAGTAAAATTGATATCCCCTTAGGCTGCCATTTTAATTCTGAAGATTCGACAATTCAAGACGATGTGTTCAAGACGATAACCTATATATTTCAACTATAGCTCTACACACTAAATGATGGTAAAAAACTTAAGAGCTGCTGTGGAAATACTTCCTAAACGATATTAAGTCAATATATAATTTAATTTGTGGTATTGGTATGACAAAATACTAAATACCTAGTATTATGAAATGACCATACAAGTTAACGTTTTTCTGTGCTTGGACCTTCATCGACCCGTTATTTAAATTGTCGCCTTAGTCGCTAACCGAGACTGTTATAAAGTATAAAGGTTAGAAGTATAATAACACATATCTAAATAGAACGGTAAATGTAAATGCAATCTGCATGTCCTCCGTCGACTATGACCGAACATAGTTGTTTGCAGGTCACGAAGGTAGTTTTATAATTTATTGAATTACTTCTGCCATTGTCTGTCGATCATACAGTGTTAGTGACCATTACAGCACTCTATAAAAACGATGCCAAGCAGGCGCAATTACTTTTTTATAAAAAGCAACTGCATCAACTACCGGCTGTTAAATATTATCTACACTAGTGCAATGGTAAACTTAAAATATTATTCCGGCACGATTTTCATATAGGAGACCAAATAAATCCTCAATCAGTTTACGTAAATCAACTTGTTTTCCAATTTTAACAGGTATACTTTAATTTTTAAATTTATTAATTTTAAGATATTGAAGTTGAGACGTTCAACGTATTAACCTGTTTTATACATTTTAAGAACATTAAAGCACTTTTTCGGTAGACAGTAAACACACTAATGTGTTTTTTTTAAATATAGACGACCTCGAACATTTCATACACATGTTAATGGTTTTTATTCATTTTTAATATAATAGGTCTCTAACACAACACTACATAATATGTAATATACACATGCACGCGACATACTTGTATGTATTGCTTCATCGATGGATTTTGGTCAGTTTTGTGTTACTTCTTCAGACTTCATTACATGATTGTATCAAGAACTCAAAGTATGCATCTTCAGTTTTCTGCGCTGCTCATCGTATGTGAAGTTTATATTTTAGTTATCTTTTACAACATTATCCACCACAACCACAGTCCACACGCGCGACGCATGAAGTAATATCGTCTACCGCAAAATTTCACGCGAGGCTGCATTTATTAGTCCATTAGGACGATTATGTGAGGATATGTGTTATTTGTGGACTTAGGGAACTATTGTTGGCGTTTGACACGTTAGACACGTTGATACGACGCTAAATCGTGTGTAATAGAAATATTCTGTTATTACACGAGAAATTCATTGACCTATCGCGTGGTTTCGTCATTCGCGCCGGCCGGTCGTCGATTACACCAGTTCATATTATTATCTATTGACAAAATACGAAAACTATAAAGATGGAAAGGAACTAGGTTAATAACCGCTCTAGTAACATCCAGTACAGCAGTAAGCATAAAATAGCAACAACAACAACAACACCACATGAAAGCCGTTAAAAGAGTAGTTCCCATCAGCGTTACTTCATCGGCTCCCCGGATGGGTTGTTCGCGTCAACACATATGGAATTCATCAAAAAACCGGTAGTAGTGCCTGTGTGTACCAATCATAATACTAATAATAATGTGATATCAAGAAGTTTATTTCAAGCGTCCATCGTGTACACGCGATAGGCGTTTCGATAAATATAATATTATAATGTAAAACATTAAAAAAAACACACACACAACAAAACAAAAACCAGGTGCGGCCCGCGATTGGCGGTCAGAACTTTCTCTGTGATAACTCAAACTTGAGAACCTCCTAGATACGCGTACAAAGAACACCTTAACTCGACTTGTTATGCAATAACGGCAGCGACGGTACTTTGAAACCAATTCGTAACGTTTGACGTATCTCTGCGTCTCGTAAGTGTGTATTTCATGTACGACGCCATCTGATACACAAATACACGAGGGAGCAAGTCGTATTACTATTATCATTATGACGGTAATATACGAGAGCACCGGTGTGTAGGCCTGTGTTATGTTCTTATAAACGATACGCCCGTTTCAGAGTTTTATAATACATAATATAATATTATTATAAAATGGACTTCGAGTATAATACATGCATGAGCCATGATAACCTCCGGAACATATCAAAGAATGCGACGGGACATGCGTTAAAGTCGCCAGAATAAAATTATGAGAGTAGTCACGATTAACCTTGATGGGTAATTTAAGAAGAATTTAGTAATTTCATATCCTACTCCAGTCGATTTTATATCAAATTGCAACCCTTATACGACTTGTGTACATCACGATTAACTATACTAGATCGTGCGCGTTACAGCCATGAAACCTTCTTGTGTAAATAATAATTAGTAATTGGTGATTAGGAAAATAAGCAAGGGAATTTCAAATTCGTATAATACGGAATTAGGTTAAAAATCAAATGGCAAAAAAAAAAAAATTTTAAAAAAAGTACTTTGAATGTATTAAAAGTAAGTAACACGTACAAAAAGGTCAAAGGTAATCAGTAAAAATACCTAAAAATTATTTAAAACGATGAAAAAATAGTTTTTATGTAAGCGAGATATTACTTTTACTTAGCACTCTATATCAATGTTCTAGGTAAAACTACTGAAAACATTCACTTTTTATTTTAAATATTGTATTATGTGGCTTATCTAATTAAATAAATAAATTATTTTATAATAACAGTAATAATAGCATTATTTACCTAGAGTTGTTATAAGTAGTGTATATGTATAGTACTTGTTATAATTAACGAGGAAAATCGCTATGGTAAAATTAGAGATAATAATAGATGTAACAATGACGTTTTTTAATGATTCGTAAAATGTGTTACCAAACGACGTCAGCGTTTAATAAAATATGTATTATTTATTAATGTCAACAATGTTTATTCAAACGTAATTTTTATTAATTTTTGTAAAATCGAAAAATGTTATCTTAAGGTATTTAATAGTCAGAACCCGACGAACGTAAGTCACACTATGCCAAGTTTTCATAAAGAGCATAAAATCTAAAACAAAAGGTCGTTTATAGGTTAGGCCTGACGTCGACAATGGTCTTATAACCCAAGTACATTATAAAAGCATGATTTTTAATAAAACTCTGTTTTGTATGATTTGATGCAAAATCAGATTTTACATGCCAAACTGTAAAAACCCTGAAAATCATCATTTTTGGACTTGCGTTTGTCTAATTCCGAGGTACAGTCGCTATTGTTGTTAAAAAAAAGTAAGCGACAGCAGCTGTTAATTAAAATTAATGACATTAGAATTGTGTATATATAATAATACTACATACTTTTCTACTATACTTATAGATGAAAGTGTTATAAAGGGTATATTTTATTCTTAAAAATTATATTATTACTGTTATATAGAGAAAAAAAATTACATACGAATGTACTTTTTTCTATCAGTAAGATTAAGTTGATAATTAGTTATTACATTTCTTGAAGTAATGCGATGTTCAAAGCAATTTTTTTTTCTTACTATCACACATCGCTGTAGTGAAAGGTGGGCTTTAGAGAAGTAAGAGTATGTTTTGATGAAAAAAATAAATATAAGATAATTTTGTTTGAACTGTTTCCTTCGAATGTTACAGCAACTAAGAATTATAGTAGTTTTTTATCTATATATGTATATGTATATTATATTATTATTTTATTTGGTATATATGTATTTTACTCATGTAAAAAAAGTAACACCATGAGCAAAATTCTAATAATTTATTATAAAACATATTATAAGTATTTTATATCGTGTACTTATTTTTTGTTAATATTGGTCTTGGAATATTATTACAACTACAAATTATCATAACGACACAAATAAACACACACCCTTGACGCTCGCTTGTCAATTTTACAGTTAAGTACTTCCGTAAGTAAACGTTATATTATAGTATTTATTTAACAAAATGTGTAATATTATATTATTTGTAGGTATACAATTCAATATAAGAAAATATATACTTGAATACGTTCACACGAATATATTATAATAATATGTCAGTCACCATAATTACATATTATACATGTTTTCATTGCATAATGTAAACATCTAGTACCACAAAACAATTGAATAATTTACCTCTTTAACGTAATATTACAAAAGTCTGTCTTAAGACTTATAGATAGAGTTAATTATTACCCTCGCATAAGAAAGAAGTAAGAACTTTATCGTAGTAAATACTATGGAAGGTTATCTTTTGAATGCGCTACCAGAAAAACTATTTACACCATTTGGTTATTAAAAAATCACGTCAAATACATTTTAGCGATACATACACACAGGTCTAAAAATACTAATTTTCTATAATAAATTATATTAAAAAAAATACTCGATAATTAAATTTTTTTTTTACAGTTACTAGTTACTAACTATACGCAATAATTAATGTAAACTGCAATATTATCGATTGACCGTTACATTTGGCTTATTGGTACATACCGAATTAGGCAATTTTAAACTAGAATCTAATATGATACAATTACGAATTACAAAAAAACAAAATTAGTAATAAATAACATTGAATATAGAACAGTATTTCAGATACTTGTTAATAGATCATAATATATTACAGCTCCTGGAGACGGTGACTCCAAATCATAACAACAATCTAAGTATAGAAAGTTAAGATTTTGTTAAGTAGCAATATGTTATTGACATTAAAAACTATTTTTCAGATAATTACTTGCACTTAATATACGTAACTGGCTTATTAAACGGTTATGAATGCATTTGATTTAGATTATTTATAAATATTGAGTAATTTATCAATAATTATCATAACATGTATTTCAAGTTATAACATAACAGTTAATATAATATAATATTTATTTAAAACTTATAGCAAACACTATCAATATAAAAATATGATTTACGACGATTTCAAAGGCTTTCAATAGTTTGTATGGATTGATAAATATATTTTTGATTTTATCCATTCTTAACTTATAGATATTTAGCATGAACATTTCTAGTTTATTTATACTTTATAATGAGACCACAACTAGTATTAATTTTCCCTGTTTTGTTTACTGTGGTCAACGTAGTATTTGGTTTCTATGTTTTTCTATAGCAAAAACTATGATTATTTAAAAACAATAAATGCTTGTTTAACGGCTTTTTAACCAATTTTTAAAGATTTAACCATAAATGTCGTCTAATACCAAATCCCTCAATGATCAGACGAGTCAAGACTCGAAGACATCTGTCGTTAGTAAGCCGCCGTGGAGCCAAGATAAAAGACCGCTTTCGAATGACTTATCCAGACAACTTCCAATCAATCTCAAAAGCATTCATAACGTTATTGAACGACAAAAATCGTTTAACTCACCGAATCCAATGGGCGGTAACAATATCAATCCTACCGATTCCATTATTGAGCCAACTAAAGATTATTATAACAAAATATTGTCTTTGAATTCTTCAAAACAACGCTCGCAGTGGTCAACGAACACAGGTTCAGATTCGAATGATCCGTACGACAATCCTCTTATCAAGAAGTTAAAAAAACCAAGTGTTTTCTTCGACGAGGATCGGTCGAAGAAAACAACATCTTCGAGTGCACGCTCATCAGACGTGAGCTTAGAACCATTTTTCCCTCCACAACAACAAACAATGGACAGTACCCCATCGGATACCACACTAGTAATTTATTATTAGTAAATAACTGCTGTAGAGTAATTATTATGACTGTAATTAAAAATAAAATTCTTAGAGTAACCTAGTTTTAGTCTTGACTGCGTATGACACGACGTTTCATAGAAACTCGTCTTCTTTACTATACCATTTTTAACATCACATTTAGTTTAATAGCAACATCTGTTACAGTGTTGTGTCAAATTGTGTATGTCGTTGAAAACAAAAACACGATTAGTTTTGAATAAATCATTTTTTTTTTTAACACCCATTTACAGAAAGTCTGCGGTAATCCTACCAAAAAACCCGATGAAAGGTTTCACACATTCGACCATTATTTCAGCTGGAAAAAAAATATCGATCATGGTTCTGCGTGGGCTTTTCACAGGGCAAGAGAAATTTGGGAACATGTCGTGAAACATCAACGAAATGTAGAATGGGCACGATGGAACAATCTTAATCATAATGTATCATACGAAGAATCAAAAATAAGGGATACTGATTTAACCAATGATAATGCAGCAGCAGCAGTTGATGATGCAATTGTGTACAATATGGCTCAAACGATATGCGACACGTTAATAGAAAATAGCGGGATCGACGATCAGTGTTTGCAAAACGACAACAATAAATGGACCATACTCTACCAAAAGCTGGCTAAATGTGGACTTCTTGAAAACTAAATGAAATACTTAATTGTTTTTGAAATGTCCATTTCTCGTTGTTTAGCAGATCTGATGTGTGTATTGTCATTAGCAAAATGAATCGTGGTAGTAAATGAGGTCGTAATATATTTAATATTTACCGGAACTTTCTGAAATCCGAGTAGTTATTTCTTTAGAAGCAATTCGCATTATCCGGTCACAAGTAATGTGATAACACCCGTGAAGGAAATTTAGCAGTAAAAAATCAAACTTAGTAATAGTATTACAAAATGGTATTTATTAAATTATTTAAAATGTAACCATATACCTAACCTATTGGTGCCTTAGAGTAACCAAAATTACTAAAGAAGTATATGTATGTATATTATTTTGCCTATGCATAGAGCCTAAATTTATGAAACTGACCAAACATTTCAATAAACACAATCTCGAAAAGGCGTACTATTGTTTCATTTGTAGTCTTCTGTGTTACCATACATTTTTAATAGTTAAGAAAATTATATTTTTGCCTTGCTTTCCATCCTAATTGTACCTGCATACATAATTGTTGAGATGTAATAACGTATGTGCTACTTACCCAAATAACTAAATTCTGAATTATAAAAAAAACATACATTATCATAAATGTATATAATGAATTACAGATTCATTATGATCAATAAGGGTTAATCTAAAATGATTGGGCAAGATAAGGTAGAACGTTTATTATATTATACATATTATCTTATAAGGTATTCCGTATTTGGTATAAGTAATTGTATTCGATAACCTAATTTAGAGCTAAGATCTTTTCACTTTGCTACCTGAACTTTTTTGAGAAATTTGATTTTCTATAATCGTCTTAGATTTACTACAATAGAAATGATAAAAAATAAACGGTAACTGGTGGAGGTAAGTCACGTGAGAAACATTTTTCTTTCGCCAGTCTCGTTTTCAATAAATTGTAAAATAAAATATTTTAGAACTAATTCGTATTACTAAAGAACATCTACATAATTGATAAACTTAAATTTTAATTTGTGCCACTTGTTACAATATAAGTTATAGCTACGGTTTTTACTTTTTTCCATACCGTGATTATTTGATAATACTGTTGTGTTTGTAATATGGCCACACTGTTTGTTGAAACTGATGAGCGTATCACTAGATATCAATCCCTTTGATATCAATAAAAGTAAAACAATGTGAATTAAATATTTTCAATGCCGGCTTATAATTTTGATATAATATTATAATACATTTATGTTTGACTATTAGGTTTTGATTTGTACTATAATTTATAAATTCTTTATCATAAGCTTTAAGTGTATCTAGTTATTATGTTTTCAACAGCCATTCGCGCTTGTTCGGTTTCTTACACCAAGAAATGTCCGAGTGTAATAAGAACACACCAAGCTGTAACTGCTATTATTTCCAGAAAATATGTAAGTATCAATGAAATATAAATTCTACAAGACAATAATTAAAATTATCCAACACTTTATCGATTACAGCAATCTACGGATTCGAAAGAGTTTAATAGCAAAACGGCGTCCAATGGGCAATGGGAGCAAATATATTCAGGAATGTTAGAATCAAGGATTCGTCAATTAAAAGTGGTATCGTTTATGACCAGCGGAGCCGGGTTATTTATTCAGCCGTTATTACTACAGAAAGCAGCTGAGTTAAATACGAGTTTGGCCGCTACAATCGGTGTGTGTACAATTGCCGGTTTCTTTACGTTTGTGACACCCATGCTCATCCATTTAGTTACTCGAAAGTATGTCACCCGGATGGATTACGATAAAACAAATGACCAATATCTTGCTACAACTATATCTTTTTTTTTACAACCAAAGAAGGCAAGTAAAAAATATTTGTTATTTTAAATGGTACAATTTATACTTAATAATTATACTAAAAACAATTATTTGTTGTTTGTTGTAATACTTATATTCTATTAATTATGAGAGTATATCAAACTCTAAGCAGCATAAGTGTGTGTACGATGCAGTCGTGTTGTGCAGCTGCATACTCTAAAAAAAAGCTCATATAACACAATTAAGGCTCGTGTAAGTGTAGTTTTCAAATAAAGTATTTTTTTACAATACATACAATTTTTACAATACATTTTTTTAAAAATACAATTTTTAACTAATAGTACTGAAAGAAGTATATTGAATTATTGTTCCGAAATAAATATAAACCTTAATCGTCAAAATTTTGTTAAATTCTTAACTCTATATTAAAGCTAAATGGATATCAACGCGAAAATTAGAATAGAAATACAAATAATTAATTTTAAAAAACAAAAAAATGTTCTTAACAAACAGAAATTATTTAATTTAAAATAATGCTAAATTAAAGATTTTGACCAAATTTATTGATTACTAATTTGTATTGCAACATTGTACCATGTATAAGCAAACTAATAAGTAATAAACATATATTTGTTACAGATACTATTTAAAACTCATGAAGTGAGACTACCAATGAGTCAAAAGTTAACCGTTACGTTTTACACTAAAAATACGCCATTGTTTGTCGACCCTCACGCTTTCACGGATGTAATGCACTATCAACGTATTTTAGGTTATGATAAACCATATGAATTGGAGTCGGAGTTTCAAGATGTTGTAACAAAGCCTGTTGTTAAGTCAGCCGATGTCATTAATGAGGAACCGTTTGCTATTGATGACAAAAAAGATGTAATTAAAAAAAAGTTGGCTAATAAGGCCTGAACTAAAATACGCAGTTTAATTTAGTTATTACTTGTTTTTATTATAATTATGTTTTAATGTATTGAATATTTTGTAAATACATTTTGTTATTGTGAAGTACTAATCGAATAATGTGTACTTAAAACCCCAAACGACATTTATTTAATATATATTCAATTGTGGTAGGCAAAAAAAATCCACACAAAAATGTTATAAACATTATAGCTTATAATAGGTAAATAATCCATAAAATATTGATGAAATATACACATTGAATTAATCTTAAGATGTAATATAAGTTTGTAATATTATTTATGTTGATCAAATTTAAAATTTGCTATGAAAAATGAAGTTGAAAGTGAAATTATTTGATGTTCGAATATAAATGAAATTGTACAACAAATCATTTCACTTAAAGCAGCACTTTTCATCAGGTGCGTATCCAGGACCTTTTTTTTGGGGGCGGGGAGGGTTCAACAAATTTAAACAACCTAAGTTCTAAACTGTGTAATAAGCAAAAAAAGAAAGAGATTGCGTCTTATAATATTATAATCGTTATATTATAACAATTGATAACATAAATATTATTAAAGTATACTTTATTGTTTTGTTATATCATAAAATTAAAAAACAAATAAACTTAAAATATTATTAATATAAAATTTTAACATTATTATGAAAATACAAGACAGTCTGAGTTAAAATAGTTATTACATTTTAGTGAAATGTATTACATAATATAATAGGTAAAGTTTTCATGATTTTTTAAAGTTTATAGACATTTGGAAAGTCTTTTTCATTACAATTATTTAGCAATTCTAATACATTTGATGGAATTTTAGACATACTTTTTAGAGTAGTGCACCATAATTTAAGTTCTGCGATTACTACTAAAGAAGAAAAAGATGGTAATAATTGAGAATATTTTTGAACTAAATAAGTAATGTCATTTTCAAATGTATGAAATTTAATAATATAAACATTTTTAAGAAAAACCCGTGTTTCATATAAAAGTTTATCTACTTTTCTCAGGTCCATGTTCTGACCCCTCCTCCCTGTGGATACGCCACTGCTTTTCATATTTAAATTTGTAATCCTATCAACATAATTAATATAACAAATTTTCATTCCTTGGGTATTAATGAATTTAACTCTGAATACAAATGAATGTCAAATTTAAAATTATAGACATAAGTTAGTTAAGTAATTACTGATAATTATAAGTTTATAAAAACAATCTCGTTATAAGTACATTTTATTGGATATCAGATGAAGTAGATTAGTTACAGAATACTCAATTGAATAAATTTCTGTCAAATTGTGCAATCAAAAACAAAAGTATAAAGTACCCATAAGCTTGCGCTTAAACTGCTAGCAAGTTGATATATCATATAAGAAAAAATACTAGTCATAGTAATTTATAGCTTACAATTTTTATATAAATAATATTTTTAATACTTTTCTTTAATGTCTAGTATCACTTATAAGCCTATAAATGACATTTTTTCAAATAAAAATGTTGAATACAAAATTCACAAATTTATAGTTTTACATCTCAATTAAGTACAGTTTTATAGATTTGTATTATTTAGGCTATTAATTAACACTAATTAGATGGCATTGTATTAAAATACTTTGGGATTTATAATATTGTTTTTGTATATTAATGATAATCTGGTAAATTTAATTTATTATTTTGGTCAAGTTAAATACTTACCTTAATAAAATGTTTCTTTTTAAATTTAGTGAAATGGTTCAACGCTACAATTGATAAATAAAATATTTTGCCTGCTAGTTTAAGCACAACTTTTCAGCAACTATTTTTTTGAATAGGCTATTAAATTGATTTAATTGACAGTAGAATATTGTATTTAAAACTCTTTTGGTAGCACAAAGTAATTACATTTTTTACTAACAAGTTGTTAACCAATCTTAGAAAAGTTAGAAAATAACAATTTAAATGTGTAATAGGTTGTGTAACATTTGTGATTACAATATTTGATTTCCTGCCAAAATTTGATCTAAAATTCTTTAAGAGTACTATAAAAACATGTAAATATAAATATATTTCTATATATAGAAATATGTATATTAGCTAGCTTATGTTAATTAAATGGTTATTTAAGTTTTTCATTGTCTCGCCATGCAATGGGTTTTTCATTTTAGTCGTCCACCAATTAAGTCTTGATGGATATTGTCATTGTGGACTTTTGGAAACGGAACGGAAAGGGGTGCTTAATGCCAGCAATCACCATGGGCAAGGGCGCAGGGGGAGTTGTCTCCCTCCCTCTGGGCGCCCTTGGTCGTGGGACTTTCCGAGACATTAAGGCTATGCTGGAAACATTGTGTAAGTAAGTATTAGCAAAATCTACCGTCATTCTAGGGGTACCTATGTCCTATTACAGTATTTTATCAATGTTATGAATTATTGTATTTATTGTTATATCAATTAGGTATATAGGATTACAAAAATTACTAATAACTAGATTGTGATTTTCAGCTCTTAAATCTTATAATTGCACCATAAAAAATGTATAAAACCAAAAAAAATTTAACCTCCTTCCTTAATGAGGGTGGGGGGGGGTTCTGATGTGCAGTTTTGTGAAAAATTCTTAAAGTTATAATAAATCGAAAATATTTTTGAAACGCAACAATTCGGCACTTGTGAACATAAATGTTCTAGTACATTTTTTCTTAAACTGTCATCGGTAAATATTCACATAAATCAAGTATTACATTTTATTTAGAAAAATACGTCGATATAACGACAAAACTATTTTTAAATTTGTCAATGTTCGAGTTTCTCAATTCATTTTTTGTGCAATTCTTAGTATTATTTTTTATATTAAAATTCAGAGGTCATAAAAAATCATCGAAAGTTCACAATTTTATCCAACCAGATATACTATTAACTTAAGATTTATGCACATAGATATTTTATTACTTTACCAACTACTACCTTACAAAATCCTTAAAACAAAAAGTAAATTTTAATTTAAAAAAAACCTTTAAAGACAAAGATCACGTGTATTAAGTATAGCTATCGACGGATATTCATAAAGCAAAAAGCCAGTACAATGGGGTCGGGACTTCAGTTGGACCGAGCTGACTGTGAATATGATAAAATCACTCAAATAAACGTTTCGATGCGAATCTGTAGAATTACAACTAACGATAATAGTATTGTAATACAAATAATGATCAATGTACTTATTATTGTATTTTTACTATAAGGGTGGTTACGATAAGAGTTGATCGTTTTTCTACAATAATTAGCCGTTATTAGCCGTAATAATAGTTGCCGTTGTTACTCATATACTGTAATTTGTAACCAATGGTATAATGCAAATAAATATATTTCAGATACCTGTTGACTGTTGATTCCTCTGACCCATTGCAACCTACAAACGTACAACCTCCAAAGTGTACTATTCCTCTTTAGTTTGGTTTTTTCTTAATAAAAAAAAGTTTCACTACAAATTTTTAAGAAAATTGCATATGGATGTATAAGCCCCAGTCTAGAAAAAATCTGTGGAATACTAAACAAAAAAAGTTTTTTTTACTATAAGTCAAAACTTAACTGTATCTATAAACTATATCTGACTGTTTATAAAAATGTCACTATTTTTTACAATTATTGTTACTCTAGATAATAATTAAAAAAGAAGAATACAAATATCAATTATTAGAAACTGCTCTAAGTTTTCTAAGCATATTTTTGACGGTTCAGACCAAAAATCCAGACAAAATTTAGATTATTTATTCGGTCCGATTTTAATTTTGTAAAGATATACGAGTTCTTTGGCAACATTACTAGGTTATGTAGAAATTATATTTGGTTTAAATATTGAATACAAATTGCAAATTTAATTTGTTTAATTTTACAAAAAACTGAAATTTTTAAATAAAAATCACCATTCCGTACAACATAGTAAAGTAGCAAAAGAACTAAGATCTTTTTACAATAATTGAAATTGGATTATTTCATGTAGTCGAAATTTTGTCTGGCTTTTTGGTCAAAAATAAACCAAAATGGCTTTTACTCATAGAAAAAAATATTTGAATTAAAAATAATACCTTAAAGCTTATACAAACTAACTGGTAATTTAATTAATATGGTCAAAATTTATTAAAACCTCATTTTCTTAAATTTTGCCTACACAAAACTCCTTAAAACAGACCGCCTGCAATTCGGTGAATCCGTTGCAATCACAGTGGACTTGCTGGTTCGTCTTGGCCTAAAATCAGACAAATTTACTACCCATTTTTATCATTGTTCTAAGATGGGATGTGTATAATTTAAGTTTCTTTTTTACATTTTCAAAAAAAACCAGTTCTTTGCTTCAAAGTACTACAACGAATCAGGAATTGTTTTTATCGTTTTACTGTTAAATAAAAATAATAATCAAATTTTACCAAGACCAATATTCTTTTTTTTCTTATTTTACTACATGATATAACCATTTTAAATATAAATTACATAAACATTTTTTTTTTTTTGGAAAATTAAAAAAAAAACCTAATTGTACTCATTTTATCTTTGAACTATGATGAAAACATTTAATTTGAGTGTTCAAGTCTAAAAGAAGTTTTATCAATTTTAAAATTGCCCATTGCTTTGTTTTCCACTCAATTTTAAAATATTTAAAATGGTGACAACATAAAAAGTTGGTAGAAAATTAAAAAAAAATTCAAAGGGGTCTCATTTTAGAACAATACAAAACAAAAAGTCCACTGGTTATCAGAATCAAACGAGCTGCTTATATATACAGAGTTATTCATTTATTATGAGACTATGTATACGTTATTTTAATTGTAAGAAAGTGAGCTTTATGTATAATTTCGCACTTTGGCGTATGTGTTTCAAAATTGACACCAAGTTCAAAAGCACACAAAAATATTAAAATATGATTTTTTTCATTGAAGTACGGTATATCGAACTCTTGCCAAGGCGTTGACTAGAAAACACTTTTTTTTATTTTAGAAGAACACTTGTGTGTCTTGATGTGCGTTTCCATTTTCTACTGTTTAAATAAATTAAAATATTTCTAGTAATCGCTTATAGAAATTTTTTTTACAAGTTCAAAATACTGTTATTTAGAACATTATTTAGATACCCACATCGAGCTTGCACTATAATAATGTGCACCTAACTTCGATAAATACAAGGTCTTAGAATTTCATGGTCACCTGCCTTGTTGTTGATTTTCTAAAATTATGATAAAACGACCGATGAGAATCATTATTGGTTTTTATCATACAATGATATTTTAAGGTCATTTTAATATTATCCCCCTTCGATAAGAAGATTTAGGTAGAGGTTATTTGGAATCTCTAAAAGTAACCTGAACATTAATTTAGATATTCTGCATGAATATATGTATATGTAAATATTTGTTCTTTTAGATGTAGTTTTAAGACTTAATGTCTGAATATTACACTAGTAGATTAATTGTCTTACAAACCTGTAGTCTAGCTTTTTTTTATTAAGGCAAATATAATAAATGGTGGGGGGAAGTTACAATTTGACCGTAGTAAATTTCTAGGATGTTATATGTGAATAAATATACAGTCAACAGGTATCTGAAATATATATTCTATATATTATTGATTACAAGATATGTATATGTGACAAAAAAAAGGGAGGAATTGCAAATACAAATTATTACAAAACCTATGTAATAATTTTTTTAAATTTAATGCCGTCCACATTATTGTCGTGATATGGTAAATAAGGTAAAAAATGAAATTCAGAACCAATACTGCCTACCATGTTCACCTGCCACATGTTCAATATGACACTTATTATATTTTCTTGTTCTCATTTGTGGGTATTTTTCCTATACGTGAGCTTAATAGGTATATTTAAGCCGACGAGTTCAAACGTAAAATCCATTCCGTTTAACTTTTTTAACTTGTTCATTAAGTGTTAAGTATAAAGCATCAACAATGAAAGCTACTATTTTGTTTATCCTTTATTCTATATTTATAGTATCCTATGTAAGAGCTGGTGCCTCAGGTAAACGTTTAAATATTTTTCTATTTTTTTATGTAAAAGAAGGCGAGAATAACACAATTAATTATTATTACCTACTATTAATCACTATGTTTAACTCATAAGTTCTTTGATGTTGAAAAACTAAAAAAAAGGGAATTATTTTACTCAGCCCTGGCAAACTAAATCCCGGGCAACGCCGGGTCCGGACAGCTTGTTTTATATATAGATTAAGATATACAACGATATACAGGGTGTCCCATTTTAAAATACTAATCCAATCAAAAAGTTGTTTATTAGAGACTTTTAGAGTACAGAGGGGGATTTAAAAAAAAAAATGTTCAACAATTTTAAATGGCTGACTTACAGTTAAAAACATGTTTTTTTTTAAATGGTAACCATGTATTTTTTGTTATAACCAAATAAATGTTCGTATCAAAACTAACAACTTTTGTAGAAAAATGTTTTCGGTAAAACCCAAAGTTTGTAAATTAAGTCTCTTTAGCTATTTTTAGTTTTGTTATTTTATTTTGATGCATATGGTAATCGTGTCATGTGTGGTAACATACCATGGTTATCACTCATACCACGGCTACCACACATACCAAGGTTACCACACGTGGCGCAGTTACCATATGCATTAAAATAAATTACAAATCTAAAAAAAGCTAAAGAGACTTAATGCACAAATTAAAGGTTTTACCGAAAAAATGTTCCAATAAAAGTTGTTAGTTTTGATAAGAACATATATGTTTTAACAAAAAAAAATATAGTTTCTATTTAAAAAAAACATTTTTTTTACTGAAAGTCGGCCATTTTGAATTTTGGACCATATTTTTTTTTAACGCCCCCTTTTGTACTCGAAAAGTTTCTAATAAACAACTTTTTGATTGGATTACTATTTTTCGAGATAAATCGATTAGTATTTTTAAATGGGACACCCTGTATATAAGGATAGTCAAATTAATTTGTTAGCTCCCTAACAATTGCCTACGCACTTACTTACAGGCGAACCACGGAAATTGATTTATGAAAAATGTTACAAATTAATAAATGTTGCCAGTAAATCGATTAAGGCCAGATGTTATAAAACTACTAAAAAAACGTTTGGCCATAAAAACATTTTATTATTTATCCTTATGTTTCAATACAACATGCTGTTTTTTTTAGGTTCGAAATCAAGTGAATATAAAGTAGGTGATATAGTTGGTTCCAAAATAAGTAGGAGTAAGTATGATCAATTTATTTTAAATATTCAAAAAAAGTAAGATAACGGCTATATTATAGCTATTACGTTTTTTTTTAAACTAAACCATATCATCTTCTTTTACAATTAAGTAAAGTTAGATAAGGTTTATATTTATATTTTAATATTATTTTTATGCAGTTTAAAATAACATGCAGCTGTTAACTCTAAAATAAAATTTAGATGTACTCGGGAATGGGAAAATTCTAAATTCATAACTAAAACAAATCAGATGAATGGAAAATAAAATGTTAGATTTTGTATAGATAAGTAATTTTTTTTATCGTACATGCATTGTTATTTTGTGTAATTAAGTAATTCCATATTAGTGATTTATATTTTAGTTATAATAGATATTTTGAAAACATGTATTGAAAATACACACGAAAAAAAAATGATAATATATTAATTTTTAAATTATTATTATTATATTTTAATAATAATCCAAGATTTGTGTTTTTGTAAAATACATAAAGTTTAACTCTTAATAGAAAACAATTTATGTCATAACATCTAAATCAGTTAATTTAATCTATACATTATAATATGTTATTTATTAACATAAATAAGTCCTCATGATATTTTAAATTTGGTTGTAAACATTTATATTATCCCATACTTAGATTTAGATCAAGCCGAGAGTTTGATAACGAATATTTAAATTTCTAATTATTTGTTTAACCTAACAAATTGAAAATTAAAATTTTAATAAAATAAAATAATAAGCGTAATAACTTAGGTTTTTTTTATTTAAGCTGTTGTTGGCAAAGCCGGTGAGCAATTATATCAAGACAAGGAAATGACATATAAAATGGTAAAACAAGGTGAGGAATATCAATAATTGTATTCGCTTCTTATAACTAATATAATACTTTTCTCTTTCCATAGACAATGTATCTCCGTTTCCTAATTCAAGTAATTATACATATTTTACATTTAAGTGCATAATAAAATATGACTAGTGACTACTTAGTTAAGGTCGCTAAGTGTTTAATTCAAATTACTATACGTTTAGGAATGAAAAAAAAACAATATTGTAGCTTTTCTATTATTAACATAAAAAAGTGAATTTACTATATAATTTAAACATTGCTTTCCTTCCATAATCATGATTTCAATAAAAATTAACTTGCTTACAACACATAAACCAAAAGTATATACCTATAACCCATAAACCTTATACAATGCTTTTTTCAGACATTTTAGTACACTATACACCCAAGTAAGTAATAATTTTGTATATTAGTACTTATTTTAATTTAAGATTTCCGAAAATTTCTAAAGATAAGTTGACTTATAGATTAAAATATTTAATATATTATTATTTCGGCTTTTCTAATATGTATATTATATACTGTATTGAGCGATCGAATTGGCTATAGATTAGATTATTGACAAATGCTGTTTTTCGTTTTATCCCGAATTAAAAGTAAAATTCTCGTTTGTGACGTATACGACAAGAAGCATTTTTTTGATATTTATTTATAATTAATTATTCGATTGTTTTCAGACATGAAGAATACGGCGATATGTTGAAAAAACTTAAAAAGGAACTCATAGGTCTTATAATATGTTATAATATTTATTTATATAAGTATAATGTTTTACATATAATAAATAATATAATAATACATATAACATACATATTATACATATAATAATTAATAATATTTTTTGGGTTCCGGAATAGAAGAAAAACAATTAAAAGTAAAGGACATTGTTGGAGCTAGAGTACCTAAGAGTGAGTATAATCAATTTATTTTAAATACTCAAAAAAAAGCAAGGTAGCGGTTGTATAACTATTATAGTTTATTCTTAAAATTAAAAAATATATACATTTTACAATTAAGTAAGGTTAGATTAGGTTCATATTTGTATTTTAATATTATTGTTATGCAATTAAAAACAATTTGTACCCGTTTACTCTGAAATAAAATTTCATTATACTAGTAATGGGCAAATTATAGATACTTAGAAATAATTATAGAAATAAAAACTAAAACATGTCGAATAAGTGGAATAAAGGTTTTTAATTTTGAATAAAAATGTGTTTTTAGCGTAAATGCATTACCTACTAAGGGTAATGCGTAAGTATTATTCCATATTAATCCAATATTTGTATTTTTTTTAAATACATAACGCTTTACTTTGTCTGAGGGCTGAACACATAGTTACATCTATATCATTTAGTTAAAATCTTTAAATTATATAACATTTATTAACATAAATAAGTTTGATGTTTTTAATAATATTGATATTTAATAATGATATTTTTTATTTGATTGTGTAACTTTATATTTTCATGATCAAACGATTTTTGTATTGTCCGTTTATATATTACCAATTATCGATTATCCCCATGTATAGATTTTAACAAAACAGAAATTTTGATAGCGAATATTAACTGTTCTAATTATTTGTCTATTTGTCCTTATAAGTTTAAAATTCGTTTACTTTGAATTTCTATTTCCCATGCTCCTAGCAACCACGTACCCGAGTTTTTATGGTGTCCAATTACAAGGAAAATTGCTAAATTTGGTACTACCATTGATTATAAATACATATTTATAATTATCGTTTATTAATTAAATAGTAATATATAGATCTAATTAATATATAAAAAACAATCAATGGTATAACATAATTATAAATGAGAAAATGTTTATTTTATACAGAAATTCCTACACCCACACTGATGTACACTGTATACCTAATAAATAAAATAAAACAATAAGCATTATAACTTAAGGTATCTTTATTCCAGTGTTAGACACCAACTTTAATATTGTGCAATCACTTGACCAGACCGAAACAACATATAAAATGGTGGAACAAGGTGAGGAGTATCAATGGTATAGGCTTCTATAATAAATTTATACTAATATAATACTTTTTATTTCTTCCAGATGGAAAATCTCCGTTTCCAACTTTAGGTAACTTCTCATATTTTGTAAATAAGTACATTATAAAATATACCTGTTTTTTATTCAACAATTTATAAAAAAAAACAATAACGTAGTAAAAATTGATTAAATATTGTGTAACTTGTTTAAAAAATTACAACAAATTTTCAATACTTTATCTAAACTTGATATTGAGTTTTATTTAAAAAAAAAAAAAAAATAACTTACGGAACCTAGTTTTAAAAATAGACCTATAAATTATCTTATAATAAATACTTAGTGAAGTTCGCTAAGTGTTTAATTCAAATTACTATGTATTTAGTATAGAAAAAAAAACAATATTGTAGCCTTTTTATTATTAAACGAAGAAAAGCACTATCAGTAATTTTTTTTATAAATAATTTTAACGTTGGTTTTATTCCATAATCATGATTTTAATAAAAATTAACTTGCTTAAAACATATAAATCTAAAAGTATATACCTATAGGCTATATAAACCATATAAAATGCTTTTTTACAGAAATTCTTGAACACTATACACCCGAGTAAGTAATAATTTTGTATTAGGAATTATTTTAATTTTAGATTTTCAAAAATTTCTAAAGATATGTTAACTTGTTAAATTACCTAATGTGTTATCATTTGGACTTTCTAATATAGTATCAAGGATCACCTAATATGTCTTATATATACTATGTTGAGCGAACGACTTAGATCTACAGATTGGCTATTGATTAGATTATTGACTAATGTCGTTTTTTGTTTTATCCCGAATCAATAGTCAAATTTTTGTTTATGACGTTTACCACAAGTAGCGTTATTTTTTATTTTTCATTAATGTTTTTTTCATTTTTATAAATTATTCGATGGTTTTCAGACATGAGAGATACAACATTTATGCGAAGCGTATTGAAACGGAACCCGAAGAAACAGGTGATACAAAAATATCATAATATTTGTTTAAGTATAATGTTATACATAATAAATAAGCTTATATGTATATAATAAATAATACATATATAATATATATATATATATACATTAAAACAACATTTAATAAATTATTCAATGGTTTACAGATATGATGCCATTATCACGTTCATGGTCCGCGTAGAAAAAAAACTTTATAAAGTATATCATAATAACAAATATTATATGAAATTTTGTAAGTCCTATTCCGGAAATCTAGTATAATGTTATGAGTAATAAATAAATATGTATAATAAAGAATAATAATAAATATATAAAATGAAATACACTTTTGCATATGATTTTAATTGTCCACCATTGTTGAATAAATAAGTGTTCACGTTATCAGGTTTGTATCTAATGACTCATTATTAATGTTATTCATTGTATACAGTTGTATATAGCCAACACCAATGAAATATCATAGATGCCTTTGTTCACTAGTTATAAAAACATTTTTTCTATATTAGTAGGGTCTTTGAACTTAAGGTTAGAATATTAGACTAAATGTGGGCATGTAGTATGTATATATTAACAAACCACAAATATCATATAGAAAATACGTATATCAACTTATTAAAGAAAAAAAAACGATTAGACATTATGGTCGAACACGGTTCAGTAGAATGGAAAAGTTGTGTAGATCAACAATCAAGAAAAATGTAGTTAAAATAATTGAATTATTTTTCAGTTACATGCAAAAACGGCACACTTCTTACATTCAGAGTAAAAGTGTATATACCGAAAGTGTATAGTTATTCGACTTTTATCATGAATATACAATATTGTTATTGACGAGAAATCAAGGCTCTGATACCAATTGGTTGATATATAAATCAATTATATTCTTAGATTTAATTCTTTAATAGTTTTTACAAAAGTGATGTGCTCTTACAGTGATACCACTTAAGTATCATTATTTTAAAACGGCATTTTTAAACAATTTTTAATGCAGGTATTTTAATCAATACAATTTGAAAATAATTAACCGTTGTGTTAATATGTATTATCATAGTTAATCTTCAGTGTTGCTGAGAAACAATAGTTCTCAAGGATTTTAAAATCCGTAATTGTCTTATACGCCACTATAAACTATTGTGAGTACATTATTTTCACAACTACCCAATTATTAAAACGAATAATTGGCATTACAATTTTTGTGTTGAAACAATTTCATAGAGGGGGATAACGTGTGACGTCCTGTAGAATTGAGGATTCTGATAGACTTCTTTCAATGCGTAGTGGACTTAGTATTGTATAATTATATTATAAAAAAACATGTGTTAAAAGATTAAAAATTCTATTCAGTTGGTGTGTTTTTTCATCCAAGCTTGATCGGACAGCAGTTAAAGTGAAAATAAAAGCTTATGTTAAAACCGTTCTACGGACTACGCTTCTATACGCCTCAAATTGCTTAGTAACTATAAGCAAAAAATAATAACATCAGAAAATTGGCAACATCGTGAATATATCATTCCGTTGTATACTTGAATGGTATTGTTGTTCGCCATTAAATACCGTAAAGATCAGCGTAGGTGATTTTATGTACGGGAAAAATACACATATTCACATTTACGTTTATTGGACTCTGCGGGACTTACATAATATTAAAATTCGTAAGGACGATCCCGAATGCTTAATAATATTGCGATAATTAATTAGATGTCCATATTATGATAATGAGTGACCAACATTGTTAACAGTATTACATAACAGTTCAGTCTGAGATACTAACAGTAGACATGTCAGGCATGAACAGTGAACACCAGTATATCTCCTAGAAACATTTTTTAATCTAGGTGCATAACAGTAAAATTAATCTCTTTTTTTTTGTATTAATATAGTACCAATAAAAGGGAACGGTTGGTTACGTGACTTCCCTAGTAAAATAAAAATAGTAACTACTAAATTACTATTCGAAATTTTGTT